GTAGGTTTTTAAAGAAAACTTGCCCTGGTATCAATGTTGGTAATGAAAAGGTAAATTAACTATTTCATGAGAAATGTTCCAGTGAAGGCTTCTTGCAGGTTTAAGTAAGGAGATTTAAGATAAACATTCACATTAGGCATGAATTACAGACTTTGATTAAGCATGGAGTTAATCCCCAAAGGCATGGATCTGACCTTTGTGTGGGCAAATCTGTCTTACAGCGAAAGGCTATTCTATCCACCACTGTTCACAAGAAGATTAAAAAGAAATGATATATTGATCCTCTACAAATGTTCTTATAACCTGAGTTATTGTTGCCATTTTATACGTCTTACTAGGTGACTCTTGGTATTTTAGGCTCCCTGTAGTTGGAAAAGTTAGTACTTCACCTTAATTAAGGCATATCCTTTAAAAGATCAAGGAAAGAAATCTGTTAGCCTAGTTCAGTGACTTCTCAGGCTCTTAACTGGATACTTTTATGCACATTATATGCTATTTTCTATGGAATATCTATCATCCTTTTGGAATCAAAACATTAATAGCCTTCAAAAGGTATTTACTTAAATTATGTAAGCTTTTCCACTTTAGAGCTTTTATTGCTTATACAATGTTTAAAAAAAAAAAAAGGAGGGGGGACAGAAAGTATTAAGACAAAAAACACCAAGTGATATGTTTGATGCCCCCACACATACAAATCTGATGCTTTGGATAACCTTTTCTCAATTGTAAAAAAAAAAAAAAAAAAAAAAAAAGGCTTTGAATCTTGTGATACGGACAGAGTTCCAAAATAAACTTAATTACTCAGATTACATACTGCATGGCAGTATAGTTGTCTGAAAAGATTTCTGTTAATCTCAACCAGCGACCCAGGAGCCAAAAAACTTTTTGATCATCTAAAATTTGCAGCCTTCGGTAAATCTCTATATAGTTGACTCTTGAACAACATGAGGGTGGGGCGAGCTGACCCCCTCTGTGCTTTTGCTTTGTATTGAAAATCCACATAAAATTTCTGACTCCCCCAAAACTTAGCCTACTGCTAACCAGAAGCCTTACTGATAACACTCAACATGTACATAGATACAGATCTTGTGTACTGTATTTATATAATGAAGCTGGAAAAATTAAAATCAAATACAGTACTGTACTGTATTAAAAAAATTCATGTGTTAAGTGTACCCTCACAGTTCAACTTATGTTGTTCAAGGTCAACTGTACCTGACTCAGTGGAAAAGGACTAGCATTCAAAGGCTCTTTCCTAAACATTTGACTCTTCCTATTTTTATTCTAGGCAAACAGTAGTGAGAAATGGTTGCTGAAAGAACCATTCAAGAAACAAATACAGAATAACTAGGTCACAAGAACTGAACTGCTTTGTATAAGGTGTAAGGAGCCTTTGCCCATATAGGTGTATGTTGACCTTGAATACATCACAATATCACAGCATAGTCCTATAATAGAAATTGTGCCTCTTCTGGGCCAATAAAACCTCTGAAAACAGGGTAACAGAGGCTTCTTGTAACATAATGTGTGTAGAGAAGCTGAATCAAAGTCCCAGCCAAATTTCACAACAAATTCTATCCTGGAATTTTATCAGTTTATTTTTATATTATAATTTCAGGCAATCTATTTAATGAAAGCCTTTGTAAATGGTATTTCCCAAGTCCTCCTTCAAGCCACAGTCCTTATCTTCATAGCAAAATGAAAACTCGTCTATTATTACGCACTGTATTACTCCCCAGATTTCTGGCATTTGTAATTCTCATTACATAGGGCAGTTTCTCTGATCTCACTACGTGACAATACTTTTTTTTTTGACAATACGTTTTTTTAATGCAGAGCCTAGCTTTGGGGTTTGGAGTATAATAATTTGAATCAAAATCTATAGATTATTTACCTTATTCTCTGCTTATCTGCAAAAATGTGTATACCATATATATACATCATAGGATTGACAGAATTGAGATGTAAATGCCCAGTAAACTTTCCTCTTTTGCTTTCTTACATATTATTTAAAGGAGATTGAATTTCAGCATCTGAAAACCAGAGAAATAAGTTAATCAAATAACCCAAGTATAAAAAGACTATAATCCATTTGTGTGTTTGTAATAATAAGCAAAGAAAAAAGTAAACCATAGCAGACCATTTTAAGGACATGCCAAATCTGACTTCAGCTTAATGCTCCAAGTCTCAGTGACATTAAAAAGATAAACACTATACAAATATATTTACACATGTTATTTATGGTAATGTTTTCTATATCACTCAAAGAACTGAGATTATCTTTTGGAAACGCTTTACTTTCATTATTAGAAGTTGAGCCTCCTGCTACGCAACCACCACCTGACCTCTTCATGCATCTTCTGCTAAAAACCTCATTCCCTGTTGTAGTTAGTATAAATACCACCTTAATGTATCAAGTGGTTTTCAAATGTTATTTGGGTCGGAGTCTTTGGATTGCCAGGCAGTTACTTGGAGCAGAGACAATGCGCTGAGTAACTGGCCTCAACCGAGACCTACTGAATCAATTTTTAAGTGATGAGGCATAAAAAACGACTTACAGTTAAGTCTCCAATGCTTTAGGGAGCAGTGAGGCTGGAGACTCACACAGTTGCTCAAGCCCCTCATCTTCAGTTACTCCTTTTCCTCACTCTTCAATCCATCAGCAACTTCACTGCCTTCGTCCTGGTGAAAGGTATGCTAGATTACCACCGTCTCTCTCCGGGACCCTGAGTGTAAACTAACTGTCCTTCCCATCAACTCTCTTGTCAACTCAAGCTATTTTCCACCAGCTGCAAAAGCAGTGTTCTTAAAATGTAAATCATAAAGGTAGAACAATAAGATCATCTTTAAGAATAACTGCAACGGGGGCGCCTGGGTGGCTCAGTGGGTTAAGCCGCTGCCTTCGGCTCGGGTCATGATCTCAGGGTCCTGGGATCGAGCCCCGCATCGGGCTCCTTGCTCAGTGGGGAGCCTGCTTCTCTCTCTGCCTCTGCCTGCCTCTCTGCCTGCTTGTGCTCTCTCTCTCTCTCTGTCAAATAAATAAATAAATAAATAAATAAATAAATAAATAAAATCTTTAAAAAAAAAAATAACTGCAACGAATAGACACCAACTACATCAAAATTCAGTAATTCATAATGATACTTAGAACACAATCCCCCCAAAATCACTTTGGTTACCTTTGGAGGATGCCAGGAAACCAGTTTCCTATTTTATATACACATCTCTCGACTTATGATGGGGTTACATCCTGATAAATGCCCCCAACATGGAGATCCTTGGATTTAGGAATAATTTCAGAAGAGGCACCCAATCGTAGTTTATCTTCAGAAATCATTTATTTGATATTTTACAATTTTAGGTAAATCCTCAGGTACTTCTTGAGCTCTTCTGTAGTCAGCCTCCAAGGTAGCCCTTAACCATTCTTGCCTCCAGGATTCTGTATCCCTGTGTTTTCATTCGCACCCAAATTGAATAGGGCTGACTCATGTAACCAGTAGGATGTTGTGGAAATAAAAGGGTGACCTTGCAGATTAGTTAGGTCACAAAAGCCATTGCAGCTTCTGCCCAATTAAACCTCTCGAGTTTCTGGTCCTGGTCTTCTCTCCTGGTTGGCTGGATGGTTGGTTGGTTGGTTGGTTTTCCTCCAATAGAGTTACTCACATCGCTTTAAAAAGGTCATTTTGGATCCTGCCCTTCCCTGGCTTGCCATCCTTGCAACCTAGAATCCTCTATACATTTAATAAATATCCTTTACACGTATATCATTTTAATTCATGGATAGAAACACTAGTTCCAGTACTGATTCTAGAAGTCCTGAAAGATTATCAAGTATGTCCAGAGATTGACAATGAACCTGTGATGATTTTAGCATTGCAGTATTTTCTAAAATCTGAACACTCACTTGATATGGAGAGACAGTGTGAGTGACAGAACAGATAAATCATCGTCACTGGAGAACACTAGACTGAACTATTTCTAGATATCTAGAAACCAATTCCAAGTGTCAAGTTTTATGCTGGTTTTTTAAAACATTGACAAATTCTACAGATTATGAAAAACTACCTAATACATTTTTTTTTCCCAAGGGGAGTGGGAATCCCTTAATTAGACAACCAAAATATGGCAAGAAGCCTTTATTTTCATACAAGGTGCCACCGCAGGTAACCATCAGAGAACACACTGCTCTTTACAGATACACAGAACTGAAAAAAGCATTTTAGCATGCTGCCTTACTGTATACAGAAAACTGGTGAACAATTTCAGACACTACAGTTAGGAAATTAAATGGGTTAACGCCGCTTGCCGACAGGTTTATGAATCACTCAGCAGTGTTACAGGATATCTTCACCTGAAAGCAGAATCACAATCACTCTGGCAGTCTCTGGGCCCTTCTAAATAAAATGCAGGTCTAGTGAAAGCTATGACGTGCAAGCGAGAGAGAGATACCCTGTCCCATCCTGAAGAGCCATACTGGCACATTTTCAGAGTCGATAACAGCCATTTTAATTAACCTGACTCTCCCTTACCACGTATGCTGGCGGTCGGCAAAATTAAGAATTTCCGACAAGAGCTGAGTAATGAATAAGCCTAGGGTTAACAAGCAGAACGCTGTCCACATAACAGAACTGCTACTTCACAACTTTTGCCCAGTTCTCACCTGTTAGTCTTGCAAAATCCCCTCATCTGATGAATTCTAGCAAAGCTTCTAGCAATCGTAACAGACCTTTCCTAAGCCAGCTCGAGATACTAAGTATCAGAAACAAGCGCCTGTGAAGTGGATGTGTCCATGGGAAAACGGCAGCGTTTCTACTGGAGGTAAGTGTCCAGTTTCCTCTTGATGTTGTCAAAGGAATCTGCTCCCATGTAATCAGCCTGGCCCTGCTCCCACCGCTCCTTCCGTTCTTCTGAGGACACAACAGGCTGGGCTGCAGCTGGGATCTCCCCAAGGGACAGATGTGATACAGCTCCTGAGACGCCTTCCTAAAAAGGAGAGCATAATCACAGACTCCTTGAGAGCTGCAAATCAGACTGTTTTAAAGAACGCAAGAAGTTGAAGGTGAGAAAAGCCAGGATGAATTATCATGCAAAGTAGCATAAACTGAAAAGTATTACATGAAACGAACAAAAGACACAAAAATACAAGGGTCATGTGATTTATTCCTAACGAAATGAAGACTTCTGGACTCAGTGAAAACATTGGGAGAACAAAGTAAATTAGGGTCAATGTTTAAGTTCTGCATACCTTTCTACAGAAGCCACAAGAGAAAGCCAGTGTATAGACCAAGTCTGAAAGCTGCAAACAGTTCATTAGAAAGTGTAAGATGGACAGACAAGGGAACACAGTCTCACGATCAATTCTCGATCTGTGTGGGCTCTGAAAGGTTGAGAACTTAAACAAAATGATACCTCAGAGGCTAACCTTCAGAAAGCACCTAACCAGAGAGCCACACCACATACACAAGTTGTCATGTTATAAAAGTGGGAGCTAAATGGTTTGAGACTATGCACCAAACTTATCTGCCTGTTCAAGCTTGTTATCAAGTAGCATTTACTCTCGTAGCTCGTGTTAATTGGCTTAGTCTTGAATAGCTGTTTAAATTCCCATCCCCTTCCCTTGGTTCATAATTCTCAGTCCTTGGGTTGTGGAAGGAACAAGTGAAATGTGTAGGAAATGGAGCAAACCTACTCTACGTTCAGTCAGAATCTCATTACATATAGAAAGGCAATTAACTTTGATTGACTGTAGAAGAATATCAAAGCTATCCTTCAAAAAGCTCTGAGGTGAGAAGGTACTAGAAATCGAGAAAAAGGAAGGCGAATGAATGCATACAGGTATTGCTTTTAACAGAGAAAATGGAAGAACAAAATTTTTGATTATTGGTTTTTGTTGCTATATATAGGTCAGTATATGTATATATAAAGATGTTCAAATATATTGAAACTCCAAGATATTTGGGCAGATTCCATGGGGAGGTTTCATAGCTGAAGCAACATAAGTCCTTACCCTGGATTAGCCCTGCCTTTGCTTTCACTTGCAACAGCAATGATATTGGGAGGCTTTTCCAGAGTTCTTTTTTCATAATATTGTTCGGAAGGTAAGAGTCTTGCAGACCTAGATTTGAGTCCCCGTTCTGCTTTTGATGAGTATGTTATGTAACTAAGAGAAGTTACTTCTTTAAATCTCACTTAATCTTAATATACAAAAGGACATAATAACAGTAACACTTACTTGACAGTAGTCCTAAGGGTTACATAGTAATAGCTAGCTTTCTTTACACACTTACTATGCCAGGCAATGTTCTGAGTACTATACAAAGTATTATTTCATGGTCCACGTAAAGCAAAATAAGAATCTTAGTGTATATTTCCCTTTCTCCATTTTATATATTGGTACAAGTGCTACCAAGTGAAATGGCTAAAATCTCTACCATGGCGAAGAAAGGATCTCTTACAACCTTAGACTCAACTGTAATTCATCCATTCAGTTCTGTTCTTTGTATCTTAATATGTAGCAGAGAAGTGTAACTTCTCATCTTCTTCCAATTCTTCCAAAAGAACAAACCTCAGAGGAAGACATTTAAACTTGGAAAAGAGGCTAAACAAGTTGCTGTTAAAATGTTAATGTCATCTTCCTCTTACAAGGAGACTTCTTTTTCAAGATTCTATGTAACCCTAAGAGCAGAAGGATGGCAAACCAAAATAATACTAGAAAAGTATTTGCTTTTGCAAGTGATTGTTCTCAATCATGTTATGGTAATGTTCACTGAAAATACATTCTTCTAAGCAGATAGCAAAAATAAACAATATGTCTATTTAAATGTTTGTAGTTTCTAAAACCTGAAATAAGACATTCTTTATACTTTAGGAATAATCTCAGAATCTTAGGATAATGGGCTAAGAATTCTGTACATACGAGATACAGATATATATGTGTGTATACACACACATACTCTCTCTCTCTCTCTCACACACACACACATACATACATATAAACCTCTAAAGTCCTTTCTTACGCACTCAGATTTAATAAAATTTGCTACAAAATCTACAAAGTCTTTGCTGACAGTATTTCTTCCCTGTAAGATGGACATTTCTTTTTGCTACAAATAACACCTCCATTTAAAGTACCACTAAACACTACCTCTACCAGTATACCAAGTTTAAAAAACTACAGCATTAAATTGCCTGAAAGAAAAAAACAGAACCTACCACATTTAGGTATGAGTGGGTGTCTTTGACAAGGCCAAATTGTTGAAGCAGAGGTAAAACGCTGGTGGTGAAGATGTCCCACCACAGGTTCAGAAACTCTGGATGAGTCATGGTAGGATCATGGGACTCACTTTTGACACTCTTTGTGCTAGGATCGTAAGTATAATTCCATGGTTTGATTCGTCCCAGGAAATGAACAACTTTGGCATTTGCACCAAATCTGCCAAGAGAACACAAGTTGAAACCATCAGTGGATTCTGAGCACTTTGTTTTGTAGCCTTAATGATGCACCTTCCACTGGAAATAGTGGTTGGAAAAAAACTTGAGCTCACTGAAAAAATTTTGAGACCTATTTTTGAAATTATTCATTTGTACGTTAAATGTATACAAAAATCCAAAAGTAGCAGTGGATCAGTGCAACAAACAAAACACCAATCCACTGTGGTAGGAAAGGCACAACCACCTGGGAAACCATTTGGTATTACCTAGTGACACTGGAAACGCTTGCACCTCTGACCCAGACGCTCGGCTCCTAAGAACAGACCCGACAGGTCTTTCCCATGTGGAACCAGAGACACAGCCGAAATGTTCATAGCAGCAGTGCTGTTTGAAACAGAACTATAAACCACCTGAGTGACCGGATCTTCAAGCTTGTTCAGCAAGGGTTCACCCCTTTTCCCAATCTCCCAATCTCCACAGGGGAGTACACTTCCCTGCCACCCTGATAATTAATTGGGTATGCTCACAGAACCTGCCTTTGCCAGTGAAATGGAGGAGGAAGCAACAGTGTGTCTAAAACAAAACAAAAACCTGCCTTCTCTCTGAGGGACCTCTGTCAGCAGAAGAATGCATGAGACCCACGGAGTGGATGTGAATCAAGCCTATGGCCTAGCTCCCAAGCCTGCTGAGATCATCAGAGCGGCTCCAGGCTTGCCACCAATATACCAGCAAGAAACATACTTACTGTTGAATGTCACTGAGATTTTAAGATTATCTGTCTATTTTGTCATTCTTAAAGGACAACTTCTGGTATATTCAGATCAGGGAATAAAATATAGCAGTGAAAATCAACTAGGGCTACGCACATTATGTAGCAAATGGATGAATTTATTAAATATTCAAACAGAAATTCATACATATGAATCCACTTATACAGGGCAAGACAAAACAAAAAAAGTACTATTTAAAGACTAGAAAACTGGGGGGGCCTGGGTGGTTCAGTGGAATTGGGCATCTGCCTTCGGCTCAGGTCATGATCCCAGGACCTGGGATTGAGCCCTCCATCGGGCACCCTGCTCAGAAGAAGGTCAGCTTCTCCCTCTCTCTTTCCCTCTGCTTCTCCCCCTGCTCATGCTCTCTCTCTCAAATAAATAAAATCTTAAAAAAAAAAAAAGTAGAGAACTGTAATCAATATATGTGTCATGATGTTGGTTATCTCTGTGGGAAAGGGGAAGCTGTGATGGGGAAGGGATAGACAAGACAGCTTCTAAGGTACTAGTTGTGTCTGATTTTTTTTTTCTTTTTTGAAGAATTTTTTTAATGGTTTTTTATTTGAGACAGATATATATATATATATATATATATATAGAGAGAGAGAGAGAGAGAGAGAGAGAGAGAGAACACAAGCAGGGTGAGAGGCAGAGGGAGAAGGAGAAGCAGACTCCCTGCTGAGCCAGCAGCCTCATGTGGGGCTTGATCCCAGGATGCTAGGATCATGATCCAAGCTGAAGGCAAATGTTTAACCATCTGGGCCAGCAAGGCGCCCTGGTTGTGTTCCATTTCTTAGCTTGGATTAAGTAAAAAAAAACAAAAAACAAAAAAAATTTTATATACCCTTTTGTTTATATACTATATTTCATAATTTCTTAAAAAGAGTTGAGTGGTCCCATTCTGGCTGGAAGGAAATCTATGTACATAAAGCCACATAATAAAAGTGAATACAACAAGTGCCAAAAGAAAGATGGGAACAGTGAATGCTCCGGGAATGCAAAGGCAGGGTGGTCATGAAAGGTCAGTTCTGTGGGGCAATGACTTAAAGCTTGTACAACAGACAGGAGCTGGAGTGCCACGAGTTCTAGGTAGGGGAAGAGCAGGTATCAGGTAGTATATGAGAGTCAGACCGAGGGTACTCCCACTGGAGCCAAAGACGAAACTCTGATAGGGAAAAGGAAAAATGGGATGGTTCCCTGGGCATTGGGTTCGAATGTCAGATGTTAGTGGATTTATCCTACAGGCAACCAAAGTGGTGGAGCATGAAGTACAGACTGAAATGATGTAAACTATTCCTGTAACCTTTCTAATCTTTTAAAGTTTTTTTGTTTTGTTTTTTTAAATGCCAGAGACCCATTACATAGCTATCATTATCTGAGAGTTTCCTATGTTTAGGGCCCCAATTTTTTTTAAGATTTTTTTTATTCATTTGTCAGAGCCAATGAGTGAGTGAGAGCATGCACGAGTCAGGGGAGCAGGAGCAGAAGCAGGATCCCTGCTGAGCAGCAAAGAGGCCCATGCAGGACTCCATCCTAGGGTCCTGGGATCACGACCTGAGCCGAAGGCAGACACTTAACCGGCTGAGCCACCCAGGCATCCTGGGCCCAAACTTTTTTAAGGGCATGACTGTGAATAATTAACAGTCTAAAGGTAGATCTTACTAACGTGTTAACAGATGCTGCTAGAGGCCAGGGGGTCAGCCAGAGCCATATAGCTATTAGGTGGGTACAGCCATTAGGTGGCAGAAAAGGGATTTGGTACAGTTCTGCCTTTCTCCCAAGCCTGCGCTCTTACCAATCCTCCCATTTTGCCACTCCAAAAGTATGCAAGAAAAATAGAGCCTTCTGTAAATTTCCTCCCAAGACTGATGGACACTACCACAGTGCCTTTCTTCTGAAAATGAAGTAGATACTGGAAATCCCCAGGCTGACTCTTCATTTCATATTTTACACACACACACAAAGTACTCTCAGTTTTATCCTTAAAGGGTAACGCTCAAAATTTGTGCACACAGGGCTATTAATTAAATAAGCAACTATTACATACGGTCAGTGCAGGACCCCAAAAGATTTTCACCCAAACAGGGAAAGGAGTCATCTAACATAAAAATGAGGAATAACAGCACAAATGAGCAACAAGCAGGGCGACCCGGCAACGCTGACACGAGGGGCTACGGGAACGAACCCCCAAGCCATGAGTGCAGGTGCGGATTTTCAGAAGAGGCTTTGTGCGGAACAGGGCCCAGCAAAGACCTGGGAAAGACAGCAGGTGAAGGTAACAAACAGCCTTCAACAAACGTTCCAGTGGTGATGGGGAGACCCATCCCAGAGACCGGACAGTTGCGTGTGTTTTGGGGGTTGGCAGGACCTACCTTGTCTGCAATACCAACCCGTCTGAGACCAGAACAGAGCACTCGCTTCCGCCTTCTCAGACATCCCGCCTCCTCACTCATCTTGCCTGGAGCAAGACTACTTGTTTGCTCCTCCTAGAATAAAACTTGACTGGTAGGTTTCAAATCCATGATTTTGCCATATGAATGTCCTACAGTCGTCATAGGAGAGTAACAATGCTAATTAAAATAAAACGTGGCCAGAACATAAACGCTATTCCTTGAACTAACCTGCTTCCCGACAGTGCACACGCAACAGGAGTCACAGAACAGCTAACACCTACCTACTGAGTACTTATGTGGACCAGACATGGCTGACAATTGCATGTTTTCTATCCCAGTTAATCTCCAAAACAACTATGTGAGGAAACCAAGGCATGAAGTAGTTCAATAACTTGTCTAAGATCAAATGGCTGGTGAGTGACAGGGCTGGGCTTCCACGGAGGCAGTCTGGTTCCAGAGCCAAGGTTCTTAGCCACAGCTAGGCTCTCAGTGAAAGACACTCCCAGAATTGGAAGGACGTCATCTGAGAGTGCATCTGTTACTTGAGAGATTAATTCCCTGCCTACAGACGGTCAATCTGAAGAGTGGAAAGGATGTATCTAATGAGCCCTGGAAACACTCCAATTATAGTCAAGGACAGAGCAAGAAAGAACCAATAGGAAAGAAAGCTACAAAACAAGCAAGCTGGCACTGCCCAAGACAGACTGTTCTCACAAGGGTTTAGTTTGCGCTAAGGTAAGGGAAAGGTGGGGAGAACAAGAAATGGATGGTGGCGCTTAGGACCAGCAGCTGACCCCTACCTGGACTGTGCTACACCGGGTGTAAGGGCCACCCAGCTCCTCTCCAGCACCTCACTCCCGGATCTGAGCCTTTAAAGCTCATGCAAAGAAGGGCACGATGGTCTGGCCCCCTGCAGAGCTGCAAACACTGCCCAGTGAGACAGAACCCCCAACTCAGCTGACGGCAGGAGGGGACACTTCTGCCTCTGGGTCTGTCTGTGCCCCACGGTGGCTCAGGGGCCTCTGCAACCTCCAGTTAGCGACCACCCCATATGGTTCAATGCCTTCCCCCTGCCATGTCCACAGAAACCCCATCTGGGGACAGTCCACAGCCTGTACCTCACTGGGGCTCAGGCCTGGGCTCCACCTTCATGAAGCCATGGCCCCGAGCATCTCTTTAATCTAAATCATCAACACCCTCCGTGGCTAGAAGAAGAATCCTTCCTCCTCAAGATTACCTTCTTTACCTATTCTACTGTTACCACCGAGAAAACTGTACCCACTGGAGGGTCCTTTCCTAGACTGAGCAGTCTTAGTTTGAAGACAGTCCTTGATAAGCCTGTTTGAGGTAGAAGCAGAGGTCATAAGGGGTCCTAAATGTGGATGGAACGGCCCTTTGTGCCCGAAGCCAGGGAATTCCTTGGTGCCAGTGAGATGGGGGAAGGACGAGAGCAAGTGGGATGGTGAAGATGTCACATAACCACCCAACAGCTACCCAAGTTTCGGCAAAAACAAAACAAATCATACAATGCACAATGTGACTAGGTCTCCACTGTGGCTGGGAGGACTGAGGAACCGACCAGAAAGTGCTCATGGGGATTCAGGAGAGAGACAGCGGAGAGATGCGGGGATGCGGGAGACAGGAAATAAGAAAGACGGTGGGGCATAAAGAAGCCACGTGCAGGCTTCAGAGGTCATGGGGTCAAGGCCATGGTCAGCCCCCTACTTCTGTACAGTGAAGCATGGGAATTTTTTTAAGGGATCAAGGTATTCCTTTAACCTAACTACCACACACCAAACTGATCTAAGGAAATGAGTCAGGGTAGGAGAAAAACAAGT